ATAGATTTTAAAATATATTTTTTACTTAGTAAGTATATAGCTAAAATTAATATTCAAAATTTTATTAAAAAATTTAATTAAAAAAATTAGTAAAAATCTTCGCAGGCAAATTTGCCTGTGTTACAATTTAAGGGATATATATATATATATTTTAGTATTAAGGTAACCTCTTTGGCCTGAGGACTTTTTATTAGAGAACTGGATAGTGATCTTATAATGTAATTACAATAATAGTATATCAAACCACACATGCACTTTTGGTATTTAATTTAAGTAGTCTATCTGAAGATTCTACACTATCTGCTATACCTATATCCTAACTAAAGGGAACTTATTTAAACTATTTGGTTACAACTACTTGCTATTGCCTCTCTAATATTCTTAACTATATGTAAGTAGATTTTGGTATCTACTCCATGTGGATTTCACACTCTATTTTAGAACTTACTAATCACAATTTGGATTTATCAATCCCTAATTAAGACTAACTAACTATATATAGCTAATCTATCTTTGAGGTAAACCTAACAGAACAATACATATTCCACACATGTATTTACCTATATGTTCTTATAACTTTTTTCTAATTAGTACATATTGATTTGTCATTCCATATTTGTATTTCATGCCACCTTTTGGGGTACTGCTATTCTATAGATATTTCTTAAATACCAATCTTTCTAACTAGACACCTATTACATATTCTTTGCTCTTATTTGGTTCACAACAACTCTAATACCCATATTTGGATTATCTTCTTACCTAGATTCTTTATCGGTCCCTCCTTTACTTCTAGCTGATAACCCAGAAGGATTAGTCTACTTAGACTTTAGGTGTCTCACAGTCACTCTTTCCTTGGTTTATACTTTTGAAGCATATGCTCTTTTCTTCTAGTGTGTCAGCCTGGCAGTTCAGCTAGTATGTTCTTCACTTAAGAACCTGATCACTCAGTTCTCCAATCTTAGGCCCTAGTTCAAATTTAGCCTTCCTGTAGTACCATTGAAGATCATTGCTACCTCCAAACTCAGGACTTGCCAAATAAGTTTTTAGTTATTCTGATTTCTCAGATTTATTGTACCAAAGCTTCTATAACTAGATGGTGTGATTGAGATTATGAATTTAATTCTAGATCTAACTGATAATTAATAACTGTTAACTATAATACAGGATATTGTTATCTATAGAATTTGAACTTTAGATCTTCCACTTGAAAAGGGTAATGACTAGACCACTATACTAAGTCGCCACATCTCTGTTACTATTATATTTTTTTAAAAATCAATTATATAAAATTTATATAAAATTATTTTCTTTGTAATTATTTTACACAAAACAAAAATCAACTCTTTCTGACAATCACTTGGACCAAATTTTCTGATAAAAAGAAAAGCCTATTTTCAATACTAGAGAGTAGTAACCTATAGTGAGGTGAATCAACAGGGTGGTTTTTATAAAAGTTAACCTTTTTACTATCTTGGGGACTCCTTTATATATTTGACATACAAGCCAAAAGCGTCTGTATACAAGATAACTAGCAGAAGATAGTGCCCTCATATACGAAATTTTGGTAAATAGGTGGAGGTAATAGAAGTCCAAGCCTACCATCGATGAAGCTATCGGTTGCAAAACAACTGAGGAACAGTAAAGAATGGGCTTCTTTTAAGCTACACTTTTTTTTATTGACCAAGTGGTACCTACTATCTTTTTTTCGCTTCCCTGCCTTTCTTCTAAAATTTTTCAACAAAAAGTAGGGATTTGGCTTACCCTCTCCAAAAGATCAGCATTGTTTATTTTCCAAATTTGGACAGACTAGTAGTTTGCAACCATGTGTTTGTTTACGGACAGATATGGCGCTACTGCATGGAACTCGGCCCGGGAACTCTAATTACGGTGGAAGGAGCCTTGATATAGGTCCTCGGACAACAGAGCCATCCGAATTCAGTAGGAAGATCAGAAAGAAAATTTTAATGCCAAGGCGGAGCTTTACCTTTACAAAAGAGATATACAAATGTTGCATTTGTTATATAATTTTTACCAACCTTGCACAGGTTATAATAGTGCCTTTAGGGTTTTACACTTGACCCCGTTAATATCAATCTTGATAATATCAACCTCCCGTTAATATCAACCTCTTATTAAGACAAAATAGACTCAGGGTATATAAAAACTATCCCAATATTATCAACTCTCGCATATATCAACATAATTGCCTAATCCAAATAGGTTGATATTAACGAGAGTCAAGTGTAGTTTTCTTTTTATGTTTTTTCTTTTTCAAAATCTGTGTTTATTTTTTCTTTTTGTTTGTTTGTTTTTCTTTTTGGTCATTTTCATATTTGTTTTTTGATTTAAACTTTTCTCCCTTTTGTCTCATGCCCTTTGAGAAGAAAGAAGAATTAGAAGGGAAAAGAGGTCCTGAAGTGGGAGCTGAGCCCCGGCTATATTATATCTTTAAATACGGCACACCATATGTGGGGTATAGTGGCCAACATCAGTACGATAATCAAGGTTGGGCATCTTTAAGAGACAGCCAGCTTTTAGTCTAATTCTCTATTAAAGTAGCTTGGTATTGTATTAAGCATTATATATTTAATAAAATTTTAGTATGCGGTTATCAAAGAAAAAAAAAAAAAAAAAAAAATTAACTTATCTTTAATTTACTTATATTAGATTCATCATATTATGATTAAAATATTACTTCTTAATATCCAAAACATTGAATTCTCGTTTATTCAATTTGTAAATAGTTTTTATTCATTTTCATTTGGATATGATTTTCATTACATTTAACGTATCTTCTTATATTAGAGAATTAAATCTCTCATTGGTTAAAACTTGAATTTGGATTTGAACTGATTATCGAATAATCTAGTTTAAGCTCATCTTCTCGAATTATTTCATCTAAGTATAATAATCTAAACTTAAATGCTTATCGTTATGCCATTAAATATTTATGAGCTTTATTCTGAATTAAGTGTAATGGCACTATTTCATTCATGTGATCGAAGTTGAAAATTTATTCTTTAACAATCAATTTTCTTTTTATATTGATCCATTCTTTCTTTACTCTACTCTTTTTACTTTGATATTTCGTAATAATTTACTAACTTAATCATCATTATAACCACTATACTGTTCTTATGGATCAGAATCCATATATTCCTTAGTTAATTCAATATTGTATTCAGAAGTTTCAGATGCAACCTTTATTCACAAAATTAACTCTTCACAAGTTTAGTATTGAAATCATTTCCATCAAAAAGTCTTTGGTCAGTCAATATTTTTACCATAATTCTTATCAAATCTATTAATCTCTTCTAAATCGGTTTCATCACTCTTTCTAGGTGTTCTTAGATCTAAGACCTTATATTCTTACCAATGTCCTTATCTTGTAATATATTACTGCTATAAAAGTCTATGAATATATTCTGCTTTGTAATTTAAATTTCTATCAACCACATTTCTGAAAATACTAATCCAAATTTCTTTTCAACAATTTCTAATCTATTAAAAGAAATTCATTCTATTATATTTTTCATATTTTATGTCTTAAAATTGAATTTCTTTAATACAATCATTGATATTTATTCGTTCTTTTGATATTAAATTATTATTTCTTATATTTTATCTAATTAATTATATAAAGTTTTGATAACGTATAATGATATATTTAAACTTATTAATATATTAGAGTTTATTAATAATTAATAATAATAAATGTCACGGATAATGGTGAAATCGGATGATCGTGAAATCAAACTCTATTTAATATACGATTTTTAAAATTTTTAGTGTATATTTTTTTATACTTTTTTTTTAGATTTCGATTAGGATTTAGGGTTAGAGTTTATAATAAAAGAGTATAGGTGGGTTTTAGTAGGGTTTATATTTTTAAATTAAGGCCCCCAGATTTCACGATCATCCAATTTCACCATCATCCGCGACAATAAATAAGAATACAAGTTTCATTGTTCATGATGATCATTATGTTGTCATAATTTATTGTCTACTATTAAAATAGTAATTTAAACTGATTCATATTCTTTTTTGCTCTTTTTCCTTCTTTCAATTTTCCTTATCTAGAATAGTATTTCTTAATTAACTTTCTATTTATAGGTGTCTTTATTATTTTTCCATTGATGGATTGTAATTTGTATACTCCTTTCTCCAATACTTTATGAATTACGAAAGAACCCTTCTACTTCAAATAAAGTTTATGACTTTTTGAATATTGTTAAGAAGCCTTATAAACTAATATTAAATTACCCTTTTTTAATTCCTCTATATGCTGTAGATTTTGATCATGTTTTCTTTTAGCACTTTCTTGTGCTTTTTTAATTTGTCTAACAGCATCATTTCTTACAACAGGTAATACTTCAATTAATTCGAAGAGTCTTTGAATAAAAGTTTCTTCTAATAACTTTTCATTTTCACTAGAATAGATCGAAAATCTTGCTTCCCTTCCATACACTAAGTAAAATGGAGTAATTTTTGTTGTATTTTGTCTGGCTGTTTGATAAGCAAAAAGAATCGATGGTATTAGAGAATCTCATTCTCTTATATTTTCTACTAACTTAGCTATAGATTCACAAAGTGTTTTATTAAAATGTTTAACTAATCCATTCGGTTGAGGATGATAAGGTGTCGAATAATGGTGATTAATGGTGAATTTCTTTAGGAATTCATCCATTAAATTATTTCGAAAATGTGTTCCTCAATCAGATAGTAGATATTGTGGACAACCATGACAACACACAATATCTTTATATATAAAATCGGCTACTTCTTGTACATTGGCATTCTTGATTGCCCTAGCCTCAGACCATTTGGTCATATAATCCGTAGCGACTACAATATATCTATTACCTTTAGGAGTTACAGGTAATTTCCCTACTATATCAATTTCTATTTTGTAAAATAGAGCTTCCACAGGTATCGAGTGTAAAGGTGGTTTTACTAAATTCTTGCCTCTTTTTTAACAAGAATCGCAAGTATGGATGAATCTTCTAATATCGATATACATTTGCGGCCAGTAGTACTTAGCTCTTACTTTGTTGAACATTATGTCTATGCCGAAATGTCCTCCTAAAGGATGAGTATGAGTTAAGTATAAAATCGATTCTACTTCGTATTTTTGTATTACTCTTAATAGATTATTAATTTGGTGTTTATCTTTTTTGTATATTAAATCATCTTTTATAATAAAGAATTGACTTTGGCTTTGTATACTTTGTCGTTCTTTTGGAGTTAACTTGCATAGTAACGTTTGTTCTTTAATGTATGTCTTTAATAATTGATATCTTAATGGTTCCATCTTTGCTTTGCCAGGACACCGACTACCTGGACTGAATTATTTTTAAAGTCGGATTTTGTATCAAATTTTTGTAAAATTATTCACTCTTTTCTAAAATACAACTTTTTATTTGTTCAATTCTTAACTAATTTAAAACTTTAAACTAATTAATTTCTAGATTACACCTTCTAATTTTTGCACAACAAATGTGACTTATAGACAGAAAACCTCCACATCCAATTTTTGCATAACGAATGCGACTTATAGGCAGAGAACCTTCATATTCAAAGTGTATCTTCTAAAAAAAAATTTAGTTTAAAGTTTTTTTTTTTGTTTTTTTTTTAAACTTATTAACTTAAACTTCTTTAATTACTATCTTTTTAGTTCAATTCTTTTTTTCCTTTCATTTAATTACTAAAATATCATCGAATTCTTTTCTTCTTGAAGAACTATAGAGATAAAAGTAGTTTATTTTTTTTTCCTAATATAATTATTTTCTTCCCAATATCTTAATTCTATTATATTATATAGTTCAATTTCTAGCAATTAAGTTAAATCTTTAAGATATTTATTATAAATTATATTTTTCTTCAGTCAAATAATTCTCTTTTTGAAATTCTAGTAGTAATGTATTATTTGATCTTTTGTTTATCAATCATTATTTGCATAATGAGGTCGTTTGAAATTTCTCAACAAATTTCTTTTTGTTCTCTTTTTAGATACATATTCACAGTATATATGTTCCAAATTTTTACAAACAAGTAACAACATTACTTGATTTAATTTGAACAATTTTAGGAGTATATTTAATTCACCTCGTATATTGCTTCTTTAAAGTTCTTAAGATCCATCAAAACAAGTTTTATTAATGATTCTTTTAACCTATTTAAGAACCTTCGGATTACATAATCCCTTGGTAAGTTCTCTCTTTGAGTTATTTGGTTTAATAACTCTTTAACATAATTTTCTTTCTTAACCAAAATTAATTTACTCTTTTTATTTTTTTCTTTAGTAGATACATTCGTGATAAAGTATCGATATTGGAGTGTTTTCTCTCAACTCTATGTATAATGGAATAATTGTAAGGTTGCAATTGTAGAATCCAACGGGCTCTCTTTCCTTTTGGTTCAGAGGTATGTAACCACTTAAGTGTAGCGTGGTCCGTTATTAATGTGAAATGTTTAGCACCAAGGTAATAATGAAAATGTTCTACTGCCCATACTACAGCTAGACATTCCACTTCCGGAGCCGAATAATTTCGTTTTGTTTTGAATAAACCTCTGCTTGCATAAGCCACTATATATTCTTTGTAGTCTTTATCTTTTTGAGCAAGTACAGCTCCCAACTCCACTCCGGATACATCAATATGTAGGAAAAATTTTTCTTTAAAATCCGGATATTTTAAAATAGATGCCATCATTAGGTGTCTTTTTAAAGTCTTAAATGCATTTTGTTGTTCTTCTTCTCACTTATAGGGAATGTCTTTCTCTAATAATTTATGTAGAGGTCAGGCTATTGTGGCAAATCCTCTTATAAAACAGCGATAATAGGATGCTAATCCTATAAATCCCCTTAGTTGGCGAAGATTTACTGATATGGAAAAATTTTTAACCTTCTCAACTTTTGATTCATCTGGTCTCACTTCTTTCTTATTAATTACATGTCTCAGGTAATTAATCTCAGACTTAAAGAAGGTACACTTCTCCGGTTTTAACTTTAATTTGGCTTTTTTTAATTTTTTAAAAATTATTTTTAAATGTTTTAAATGTTCTTCTAAAGAACTTAAATAAATATTTATATTATCTAGATAAACCACAGCGAAATTTCCAAAACAATCCCCAAGTACTGTATCCATCAATCGTTGGAAAGTTTCTGGGGCATTAAAGAGGCCAAACAGCATTACTTTAAATGTATAAGTGCCAAATTTTGTTATAAATGTTGTTTTTTCAATGTTTTCTTCACTTACTCCTACTTGCCAATATCCACTTATTAGGTCTAAAGTGGAAAACCATTTGGCTTTACTGAAAGTATCCAATAGATCGGTAATGTGAGGAAGCGGGTATGTGTCTTTTTTAGTTACTGCGTTTAATTTTCTGTAATCTACACAGAATCGCAGTTTTCCATTTTTCTTCAGCACGATAACTACTGAAGAAGCCCAAGGACTATTTATTTCAATTATGAGTCCTTGCTCTTTTAATTTCTTTATTTCTTTTTGTATAAATTTGTTTTCTTCATAGGCGGCTCTATAGTAGGTTTGTTTAATTGAGATGGCATTACCTGTATTAATGCTATGTGTAATAGCATTTATATGGTCTAGATTTTCAAGACTTTGAGCAAATAGATTTTCTTCTTTAAGTAGAAATTCTTTTATTTTTAACTGCTGTTCTTGGGTTAATTCTTCATTATTAACCATCTCTTCAATTATTTCTTTAACAGACTTCTTTTTATCCTTTTCTTTTTCATCTTTTTTAGTAGGCACTTCCTCTATATTAGTGAGGTATAATGCTGGATTTTCTTCACATATTAGTCAACTTTCAATATTTTTTTCTTTTAATTCATCAAATTCTTCTTCTTTGTAGTCAAATTCATTGAAGGTATCTTCGCCGTCACTATATTCCTCAAGACTTTTTTGTAGATTAAGGTCTTCAGTTTCATTATTGGAAATTGAAATCTCTGCTAACCTATCAGCATATTGTAAATATAACTTTTTTTTATCAAAATAAATTCGGGCTTTGGTCTTTTGGAACCAATCTGTTCCTAATAATAAAGTATCGTCAGATGACTCTATAATAAATAGAGTGGTAGGTACTATAACATCCTGAATTATAATTCGAACATTTTTAATTTTTTCTAATGTTTTTGCTTTAGCTCCAGTTGCCATTACTACTATAGTTGTAGATTTATTATCTATTCTTAACTCTAATTTGTCTAATAAGCATTTGGATATTATACTTACTGCTGCACCAGAATCCAGCACGGCTAATACCGGATTATTTTGAATTCGGACATAACATCGGGCTGCGGTTGTGTGAAGGTATTCTTTTACAAATTTTACTTCTTTTAATATTGTTGGACGTTTCAATATCTTTGCTAGGTTTCTTCTCTAATTAGAATATTGAAGTATCTGCCTCACTGTCACGTTAGTTGTTAGAGAAAGAATGTCATCTGCTATATTATAGGGCTTTAGGGAATCAATTTTCAAAGGCATATGTTTTCTTTTTATTTTATTTTCAATAGGTTTTTCTATAACTGATGGATTTTCAACTTCTATTTCTTGTTCTTCTAATTGTTCTGGTGGAACTCTAACTCCTTTATGTAGTCTTTCTTCTTGCTTAGGATTCGCCGGACGTTTTTTAACTTTTTAAAGATAATATTATTTGCTATAAAAACCTCCTCTTTATTATCCTCTTCTAATTCACAAAAACTAATAGTTTTTGTTAAATTCTCTTTTTCTTTTCTTTAATTAGAGTATAGATAATTTACTTTTTCTGACATACAATATTTAGTTATATGGCCTGTTTCACCACAGTTGTAACACTTAATTCTTCCTTTTTTTTTTGTTAGATTATTTTGAAATCGTCCTTTAAAGAAGTTTTCTTGAGGATGCCTATTTATTGTATCCTTCATTTTTGCTGAGATGGTTGTATAATTTATTGTTAATTCTTTAATACTTTTCTTTAAGTCACGTAACTCATCTTCTATTCTTTGTGATGTATTCATTATTTCGGCAGATTGTTGGCGATAATAACCCCCAGCTTCAATTCTTTTTGCTATGGCTATTGCATCTTCTAAATTTTTAGGTGTGGCTATATTTACAAGCTTGGCATTATTGCCCTTTAGACCCTTCAAAAACATTCTAACAATAAAGCTCTTAGAAAATCCATTATCGACATTAACTCTATTAAGTAATTTTTGAAATTTAGTGGCATAGACATCCACTTTTTCTGTATCCTTTTGTTGTAATTCATATAACTCCATTTGCCAACGATGTTAACGATCTTCTGGAGCAAACTGTCCCACCAATAAATAATAAAAACTCTTGCTTCGTTCCATTTCATTTTCATTTTCTACTTTCCAAAATTCAATATTTCCTCTAACTCTTTTATACCATTCAGCTGCTATTTCTTTTAAATAACCTGATGCAATTTTTACTCAATGATTTTTGGCCCAATTATTGGCTTCAGCAGCTCTTTCGAAGTCATCGAACCATTCAAAAGGATCTTTGTCATCAGTACCATAGAAATACTTAATCTTTACAAGATTACTTTCTTTTGTTTTATTTTTTTTTTTTTAGTCATAGCTTTCATGAATTTATTAAATTGTTCTTCATTCATTTTTTTTTTTAAAAAAAATAGATTTAATATACAAAAATTTAAGAAGTTTAGAATCTCACAGTTATCACCAAATATTACGGGTTGAATTGTATCTTTAATATGATACACACGAAAATAGATAGTTTTAGGTAATAAGGCAACTCGCTAGAGGTGTGATAATAGTAATTTAGCAATAGTTTAGTTTTAAAATGATATTATCAAGATGATTTATTAAATGTTATATGTTAGGAATTTATAATCCTATAGGATAAGATTCCTCTTTACAAGAGGGAAAATACAGAGTTTATATAACTTTCACTATATTAATAGATTCTAAAGGCTTAAGGTAAATCAATCTTTCATCATGAAAGATCAAGAGAAAGATTACTATAACTAAAGGGGCTTACAAAGATAAATACAACATAATTATTATAATAAAGGCTTTGTCTTTACAACATTTCTATAATTATTTTTAATTAAATCTTAATTCTTGTTTTCTTCTCTTTAGATCTTCATTTGTTCTTCTTGGAATTCTTCTTTGGATTTCACATAGGTTATCTTTCCATTATTTAGCCAGTAAGCCTCATGCACTAGTCGATCTAGAATTCCGATGATCAATCTGCTTAAAGTTATAAGTTTGCTGCGCCGATTCGTTAATCTACCTTTTAGCCTGTAACAATAGAATTATTATGTTTTCTGTTAAAAGTTGCTGTAAAATTCTAATTTGCTACTGTGATGTATATATTAAAAGTTAAGTTAAATTGAATTAAGATTATTGCAATTTTTATCATGAGACACTGTAAAAATTTTGATTCTGATCTTACTTGCTATTTTGGCAATACATATTGAAATATTATCTTACTATTTCAGTAACAGATATATTGTAGTTCCTACTGTATAAAAAATTCTAGTACAAAGTAACCTATATCGAGATTATTGTAATTCCTATTATAGTTATTAAAAAAAATTTCATTATAAAACTTACTTACCATTCCAGCGATACTAGTATGTGTTTATATGATATTTGCTACTGTGATGTATATATTAAAGGTTAAGTTAGTTTGAATTAGAATTATTGCAATTTCTATCATAAGACATTGTAAAAATTTAATACTGATCTTATTTGCTATTCTGGCAATACACATTGAAATATTATCTTACTACTCCGGTAATAGATATATCATGGTTCCTACTGTATAAAAAATTCTAGTACAAAGTAATCTATATCGAGATTATTGTAATTCCTATCATAGTTACTAAAAAAAATTCTGTTACAAAACTTACTCACCATTCCAGCTATACCAGTATGTATTAATCTATGATATTTGCTACTGTGATGTATATATTAAAGATTAAATTAGTTTGAATTAGAATTATTGCAATTTCTATCATAAGATACTGTAAAAATTTTAATACTGATCTTACTTGCTATTTTGGCAATATGCTTTATGTAGTTAAAGTAGAGTTAGTTTGCATTGAGATATCATCTTACTACTCTGGTAATACAGATGTATTGTGGTTCCTACTATATAAAAAATTCTAGTACAAAGTAGCTCATATCAAGATTATTGCAGTTACTAAAAAAATTTTATTACAAAACTTACTCACCATTCCAGCAATACCAGTATGTAGTCTACAATGAAATTATCATTATTTCTGTTAAAAGTTGCTGTAAAATTCTAATTTGCTATGTGCTGTAATATTTATATTAAAGATTAAGTTAGTTTGCAATATAAATTCTAAAGGCTAAATTAGTTTGTATTGGAATTATAATGATTTTTATTATGAGTCACTATAAAAATTTTGCCACTGGTCTTGCTATTCTGGCAATACACAATTGTGGTTAAAGTAGAGTTAGTTTTGTATTGGAATCATCATCTACTCTAGTATTGGAATTATCGCAGTTAAAGATTTAGTCTATATTAAAATTATTGTAATTTCTATCATTGGCCACTACATAACTATTCAAATAAAGATATATACGTATGTACTGTACGTACATATGTGGCTCTAGATAACAATTTAATTGATTATTTATATTGTTAATCTAAATATTATTATTATACACAATTTTTTTTAGTATATAGTTATAGATATAAGTTATTGAGTAATGCAGTGCCGAGTATTGCTAAAAATAATTTAGCTTGGCATTTTACTCGGTATTGCTTGGTGGGCTTTATTAGTGTTGCAAGTAATTTTCAAGTTGCCAAGGCCTTATATGTGTTTTGGATAGTCCAAAATATTGCTACAACACATAGTAGCTCTAAAACTAATGAAATATTAGGCTAAAAAGCTATAAAAAGAATAGCTTTTTGCTCTTCTAAAAAGCAGTTCTCTTGCTACTTTAATTTCCTTTAATAAAATTATATTTATCTATTCTTATCTTAATATTATTATTAAAATTATTTTTTTTTCTTGTTTGTTTTATGTTTTTATCTTTTCTCTTAATAAATTTTTTATCTTTCTTGAAATAATATAAAGTGAAAGCTGGTTTTGGAAATAGTATTTTGGCAAAATACTAGTTTATATTATTTGAAATTTAAAGGCTACACATAGCTATTAATGGTCTGATTATTAGTACTTCTTCCTCTGGTTATATTTTAGGATATTTCTAAGTTTTAGTGGCTAACATATTCTTGTAAAGAGCAAGTAATTACTAAGCCTGACCTATACAAACTGACCAATAGGTTTAATCTCTCAAATCTCATCACCTATTGATAACTTTTTATAGTACTTTAAAGGCTATTGAATTTAAATTCCATTATACAAATTGTTTATTTTCTTTCTTT